TAGGGTTTAAGGGTTGAGGGGTTAGGGGTTTTGGGCCAACAAATAGAATTTTGGAGGTTCCATGTCTCAGTTCTACACTTTGAAATCCAGGTGTTCAGAGTTCCCCGCGACGCTGATAAAGGAGTTTGAATAAGAAACAATGACTACGACTACAAGTATCCCTTCCCCTGTACAGTCTACGCCCCGCCCTCCCCAAAAAATCTTGTTCCACGTTTTCATTCCAAGAAACTAAGTTGTCCTTTAAGCCCTTTGAAAATTATTTACTATTATGGTTCTCTACAAAATAGTAAGGGAAATTAAAAAAGATCCCAAAAGACAACCCAGCAAACCATCCCATCCTGAACTGTTATTGCCCGACCACTCAACCGCCGGAAGCCCTAAACCTACGCCATACGGTTGATGGACAAAATCCTGCATTACCCACTATAAGGAATATACCATAATTCCCATAGTTTAGGGTCCTTAAGGTCATGCAGGATTTTGTCCATCAACCATATCCCTCAAGTTCATGCTATGTTCTGCACCCTGAACATCGAATCCTAAATCACTAAGCACCATACCCTACATCTTCAAATCCGCAAAATTCAAAACCTACTACTGGAAGAAAGACCTAAAGCATAGTTGTCCTAACGGGTCTAAGTACAAGTTTTATACCAGATACTCGTGGGCTAAACCATCAACTCATACCGGCGTCTTCATTGCTAGAAAGGAATTTTGGGGTAGACTGCGCAGAAATTTAACAGTAAGGAATAGCAGCGGCAAGTAGCCAGGCCTCTAAATCGGCCTCATATCATGCATGTGCTTAAGCCCATGGGTTTACCCTCAACGCAAAACCCTAAATCCTGAACACTACGTAAACCCTGAACCCGAAGCATAGAAGCTCACATGAACCCTATTGAGACACAGAATCTGGAAACACTACACATGCTAAGTCGGATTCCCAAACCCAAAAACATCTTAACATAAACCTGAATCCTCTGATTAATGGCAAGACCGCTGATTGAAGTCCACATAGCCAAACTTTCTTACACAACCCTTGTATACGAGCCCTTCTTAAAGCCCCGACAACCCTAAACCCCAAGCCCTATGCTTTCAACCCGAAGCCCTAAACCCAAAAGCCCTGTAGTGGTAGACGCTATACCCATAAACCCTAACTATAGTCTCCATTGTAGCTCCTTTTTTTGTTTAACTAACCAACTATATATATATATATACATATATATATATATGGTTTTGTAAGGTATCACGAAAAAAAGGAACTACAATGGAGACTACAGGTAAACCCCAAACCCGACTCCCTCTCCTCGCACTTGGACCGCTTCAGCGACCGCTCCAGGGAGGAAGGGCACGTGAGCCGAGGAGGGAGCCCGCCTGCTGCTTTCGGCTTTATAGGCCTTCTTAAAGTTTAGGGTTTAGGTCCTTCAAAGTTTAGGGCTTAGCGATGCTTCGGCTTTGGGTCTTGTCAAAGTTGTCTTTGTTTGGTGGGCTCCTTCTTAAAGTTTATAGGGTTTAGGTTTCTTTAAAGTTTAGGGTTTAGGGATGTTTAGGATTTAGGGTTCAGGGTTCAAATTTTAGGGCTTGGGGTGGAGGGGTTCGGGCTTAGGATTTTCAGAAATCAATAAGGGCCAACATAAATACCTGTACTATTGCTGCGGATTCCTCTCTTACTCAATGTGTTTAAACATCCAATGTGTTTAAACATCCTTGAACTATCGTATACCCCGAACCCGGTTTTAAATGCATATGCGTGTGTTGTTTCCTTGGCTACGGCTCGAAAGGCTTAGAGGTTTTTAGCTTAGGGCTGGGGGCAGGGTTAAAGAGTCCAAGGGTTTAGGCGCTGGCTCAGAGGGTTGCAGTTTGGCGTGTCGTCTGCATAGAGACGTTTTACCAGGGTTCTATATATATATATACATATATATATATATGTATATGATATGTATTATATATATATATATGTATGTATATGTACACGCGGATTTTGTCAGGAATCGGAAAGCTCTTAGAGGGGATGGCTATTTTGTTCGAGTGCGGGTTCGAGCGTTTAAGCGGCAGAGGACGTTCGCATCGAGGGTCGAGCTTAGTAACCCTAAGGGTCCACATATACTACTATTATGGAATTAGGTCCCCAAAGCCAAAATAAGAATTGTCTTGTGGGACCTAATTCCATAATGGTGGTCTATGTGGACCCTCTGGGTAACTTTGTATGGTTACTGAACAACCTCTGTGAAATAGCTGTGTATGTCCAGAGTTGGTTCTTGAAACTTGATGTTTAGTGGCAACCCTAGGTCAGATCTAGTGGAAACCTTGGGTCTTGAGAGGTGTATGGCAAAGGGTTTAGGGTTTAGGGTTTAGGGTTCAGCTTCAGAGCATGAGGGGACAATGGACCGACGGCAGGCATAGGGAACAGACTTATCTACTGCAGGGGGGCGTGAAGACTTAGAAAAGGGTTTTGGTACCCGTGATAGTAATAAGGAACCCAAAGGGATAATATAGGTCATCATTCAGGCTTCATATGGCACACATTTCAAGTTGAGATGATATGGTAGGGCTGTTCAAGACCTGGCACAACGTTTGGGTGGAGGGGGGTCAAGCTAGAGGGAACATCGATGCCTAGTTGTCCGGATTCAGAGGACGTTCAGCACATATCATTCTACCCCAAACGAGTTGAGGCTACTACGCGGCCACCAAGTCGGCGTCAGTGTCGGCAGCAGGTGCAACTGCATTGGTCTTCTTTAGATTTTCCTGTTCAGGGTTTAGGGTTCAGGATGTATGGCTTAGGGAGTTTAGGGTTTCTAGGGCTTAGGGCTAAGGGCTTAGGGTGCCTATACAGACGGCCGCGCATGTTGTCGGGCAACGCCGCGACCCAGGTCCGTGCCCAGTCTGGTACGGCTTATCCCGTCCGCCCACGGCGCTGCCTAATGCGGTTTAGGGTTTAGGGTTTAGGGCATGGTGCCGTCCACCTCTAGGTGCTGCCCCTCATCCACTTCCACGACTTCCTGGAGGTCCACTGCAAGCTTCTTGGCCTCACCCTGGGCCTGTCTTGGCATAGCTTCAAGGGCGGTAGCCTTGGAGTGAGGCAATATCTTGCTGGCCAATTGGTTCGCTGACAAAAATTCCCATCTCGATGGCCGGATCTTGGAACAGAATGCATGAGCCACAGGAAACAAGGCAACCGAAGCAAACCCCAGAACCACGAACCATCAACCCCCAAGCCGGATTTCTAAACTGCACAAAACCACAACCCCCGATCCATGTTTTCGGGAATAAGGTTAAGAGGTTTGGTGCAACCACATCTCCGTTTCACCAAACTCACTCAACCCCAACACTGTATGGGTTTGGGTTTAGGGTTTAGGGTTTAGGGTTTAGGGTTTAGGGTTTAGGGTGTCCTTAAGCCGAAACCTGAAGACAAAGCCACACATCAGAGAATCTCGATCCCCACACCCTGGACATCAAATGCTACAATCCCTGCCGGATTGCGGGGGTGTCCAAGAATTAGGGGATCCGAATAGAGCACCCTAAATAGTGGGATCCTTATTATAAGTACCCCAGAATAAAGTACCCCAGATGTTCGGAGACTCCCGTGTCTCTCAGCTTGAACCCTAAGCTCCGAAACCGTCAACTCTAAATCCTAAACCCCGAAACCCTAAACCCTGAGCCCTAAAGCCGAAGCCCTTTTTTGAACCCAGGGTTTAGGGTTTAGGGTTTAGGGAACCCTGAACCCTAAAGCCGAAGCCCTAAACCCGAAATCCTAAACCCCTAAGAAGCCCTAAGCCCGAACCCCTGAACCTGAAACCCTTAACCCCCGATCCTAAACCCTACACGCGTTTAGGGTTTAGGGTTTAGGGTCTCCTACACCTAAGCCCTAAGCCCTAAACCCTAAGCCCTAAACCCTAAACCCTAAGCCCTAAACTCTAAGCCCTAAACCCAAAGCCCTAAACCCTACACCCAGCATCTTCCAGCCTCGTCCCTGGAAGTAGATGTGAACATGCCAGATCTGAGGCGGCAGTTGGGTTTGATCTAGGAGCCTTTATAGGAGGGGGTTTAGAGTTTAGGGTTTAGGGTTTTAGGGTTTAGGGTTTAGGGTTTACGGTTAAGGATTTAGGGTTTAGGGTTTAGGGTTTAGGGTATAGGTTACACCAAGGATTATGTACCAATATATCTAGGGTTAGAATCGGGTGTTGGGGCATAGTATGATAAACGATAACAGTTTTATGATCATCAAGTACTTGGACCCTTAGCGTTAAGGCCCACACCTTGCATCTACTCCAGCTGCAGGTTGACCATTTAGAAGCTGGTGTTTTGGCAATAAGTAAGGGCCTTAATAATCAGAATAGG